TCTTGCCAGCCCTGGAGTAAGAAAGGGAGGTTACCAAGAGATGTTTTAGGTAGACAGAGTTGAAAGAGAATGAGTATGGCACAAAAGAAGAGAGAAGAGAATATGACAAAAATCATAGGATCTTTGTGATTCAGTTGTAAAAGAGGGTCTTCCCTCTTGCTAGTGAACCCTCTTTTGCCTTCTCAGCCTCAACCCTTTCTGAAGCAAGCTGCCTTGTTCACGAGGCCCCATATGACAAAAAGTTGAGGGCAACCTCCAGCCAATAGCCAGCAAGGAACTAAGGCCCTCAGGCCAACACCCACAAAGAGGCAAATCTTGCTAACAAAAACACGAGCTTGGAAGTCAATCCTTCTCCAGTTGAACCTTAGGATGGTTCTACACCTTAGCACTGGTCTACACCTTAATGATAGCCTATTAGAAACCCTGAACAGGGGCGCCTGGGTGGCTCAGTTGGTTAAGCGACTGCCTTCAGCTCAGGTCATGATCCTGGAGTCCCGGGATCGAGTCCCGCATCGGGCTCCCTGCTCGGCAGGGAGTCTGCTTCTCCCTCTGGCCCTCCCCGCTCTCATGCTCTCTCTCTCTCATTCTCTCTCTCAAATAAATAAATAAAATCTTTAAAAAAAAAAAAAAAAGAAAGAAACCCTGAAACAGAGGACCCAATTAAGCCATGCCTAGATGCCCTGACCCACAGAAAGTGTCAGATAGGTAATAAATGTGTGTTGTTTTAAGCTGCTACATGTGGGAGTGATTTGTTACACAGCAATAGATGACTAATATACTTGGTATCAAGATCTCACATATAGTTTGTTACCTGGCACTGAATGCCAATGACCGTTTTTTATTCTTCCCTCTGGTGCTTACAATCATTGTTGACTAAAACTCTGTTGGTCACCTACCATCCAGATCTTGGTTTTTCCATTAAAATGAAGTAGAATCTTAGGGAAATAGTTGACTCGTGCATCAGGGCAGAAAAAGCAAATGCAGAGCCTGAAACATTTTGTGGTGCCAGAAGTAAGGAAGTGCTCAAAAATGATGGGGTATGTCAAAAGAATAGAAAAACCAACTTGAAGGAGACTTCAGTGGTCAACCTAGAACAAGGTGAGCAAGAAAACAAAGGATAGTGATGTCTTATAACACACAGAATAAAATGAATACTCATGACTCCGCACAACATAAATAAGCATGGAAAAGGGGACATAGAAAGAATGACATAGAAGAAAGAAAGAACAAAAGACAAATTCCACAGTAATCATTGTATGATGAGAGATGGTGTGTTGACATAGTCTAAAAATAAAATATCTATTAGTTACTGAGGGGGGGAGGGCTGGAAAAACCTTGAGATATCACCTTAACCAAATGATCTAATTAACATCACCAACAAGAGGACATTACATATAAACATCACGTACCTCCTCCTGATATCATGCAGTAGAAGAAAAGTTCAATATCACTTTGGTGGTATTCTTGCCAAAAATGCCTAACTTCAATTTATTTATGAAAAAAAAATAAGAGATGCACATTGAGAGTTTTACTATTATCCAACTCTATGGTGCTCTCTGGATCTTAGTTTCTTTTTCTAGAAAATAAGGGGGTTGGACTGGTCAGTATTCTTCTAAAGTGTCAAAGTCATGGAGACAAGAAAGATAGGATTTTCACAGATGAGAGGAGACTAGAGACATGACAAAGAAATGCCATACGGGATCAGAAAAGGGACTTCAGGGAACAGTGGTAAAATTCAAATAAAATCTCTAGATTAGGGGTGCCTAGGTGGCTCAGTCGTTAAACGTCTGCCTTCGGCTCAGGTCATGATCCCTGGGTCCTGGGATCGAGCCCTGCATCAGGCCCCCCGCTCTGCGGGAATCCTGCGTCTCCCTCTCCCACTCCCCCTGCTTGTGTTCCCTCTCTCACTGTGTTTCTCTCTGTCAAATAAATAAATAAAATCTTAGAAAAAAAATCTCTAGATTAGCTGACACATTGTGTCAATAGTATGTATCAATTATTAAATATTAAATCGATTATTAAGTATATATCAGTATTTCTTGGTTTTGATCACTATGTGGTTACACAGGATGGTAACATAAGGGTAAGCTACGGTGAAGGGTACAAAGGAAGTCTCTCTACTCTTTTGCAACCTTTCTGCAGATCTAGAGTTATTCCAAAATACAGGGTTTAAAAATAAAAAACTCCATCTGCTATCCTAAGATTGGGATTCTGATGGTCTTTGGCCTCACATCACAACTTAATAGGTACAAGATCTTTGATCTAAGCTGCAAAGGAGCTTCTCCTTAGTAGATCTCTATGGACCCATAGCAAAGGACACCCTGCTTCTGAATAGGGGGTGGAGTTCGCTTTTCTGATATATTGACTATTTTTATTTAAACCTCCTATAAAATATGAGCTCAGTTTTAACTAATCTCTTCTAACTTTATAGAGTCAAGAATCCACAAGTTTTCATCTCTGTCCTTCACATCATTAATGATAGAAGTGTTCATACAAATCATTCACAAAAGAAAAATGTGCACGTTGAGGTCCTTATATACTGCTCTTTAGTCACGTTTTTACATGTTTTTCACATGACCTACTCAGTCAAACCTCAGTTATTTATAAATGTGTCCAGAACATACATAGCATGCCACAGTTCATAATGATCTGAGGAAAAGGTGATTCTACCAATCATTATGTGTGTTATGTCGGCGGTAGAAGCTGTCTAACATTGCCTTAATTATTTCTTGTAATAACTAATGTTTTACTCTTCCTGCCTATCGGGCACTGAGCTGATCACTTTATGGATAATTTCCTTTAATCCTTCAGTAGCCTTCAGGTAGGCACAGATGAGACAGCAAACATACATTCCCTAGTAATGTCTGGCTTCAGGGAAAGAACAGGATGGGTGTCTGCTGGGCCCTGTGGAAGTTCAGTTCAGGGGAAGTGACCTAGTTGCCACAGGCAGCATCCATTATCTGATCAATTCCCTTTTATTTCTCTTTTTTTTAAGGGGGGGGGTAAGGGGAGAGGGGCAGAGGGAGGGGGAAAGAGAATCTTAAGCAGGCTCCCCGTCAAGTGCAGAGCCCGTCGTGGGGCTCGATCTCACAACCCTGAGATCATGACCTGAACTGAAATCAAGAGTCCAATGATTAACCCACTGAGCCACCCAGGCGCCCCCTTTTATCTCCTTTAAATCAGATTACTCTATTAGCATTGGAGATGGCGGGGAGAGGGAAGAAGGAGTTGAGAGAAGGAGGTATGAAAGGAAGGAAGAAAGGAAGGAAAGTAGGAAAGAAACATCTCAAATTGTATGAAGAATCTCAATGTTGTCACAAAAAAGGGAACTTTCAGTCTGATGTGTTTTAAATCAGAGAAATTTCCAACTGGAAGAGAAGGACTCAGGGGGAATATGAAAACCATCTTTAAAAATGTGAAGGGCTGTTTCAGGAAACTGGGATTCAATTATCATGCGTGGCCTGAGAAGGAAGTTTAGAGAGACATATTTCAGCTTATTATCAAGAAAGTCTTGGGGCACCTGGGTGGTTCAGTCATTAAGCGTCTGCCTTCGGCTCGTGTCATGATCCCGGGGTCCTGGGATCGAGTCCCACATCGGGCTCCCTGCTCTGCGGGAAGCCTGCTTCTCCCTCTCCCACTCCCCCTGCTTGTGTTCCCTCTCTCGCTGTGTCTCTCTCTGTCAAATAAATAAATAAAATCTTAAAAAAAAAAAGTCTTTCCAGCTTTGAAGTCCAGTTATGGGTGAGGCTGCCTGAGGACTTGGCGAGCTCCTGGCCCCGAGAGGTGCTCCACAGGATGCTGGGTGTCCAGCCCTCAAAGAATAAGGATAAAAACAGGGACTGGTGCTTAAATTAGATGACCTTGAAAGTCTCTTCTAGCCAAGAAGCTCCAAGAGGAATTCTGAGCGTCCTCTTTACCACTGGATCAGATCCTTCGGCAAGATGGCAACTTCCACTCCTTGCTCCTGGTGTCGCGAATCTAGTCTGCTTGCACATTGAATGGGGAGAAGCAAACTGAATAGTGTTTGGGGATAATAGGCCGACTTAGACAACCAGTAGACTGCGGTCAGAGTCTTTCAGAGCCAAGAGAGATCTATGTGAGTTCTAAAATTTGGAAGACTCACTTTTGTGAACTTCTGTCCCTGAGGGTCTTGGTCAGCCCTTACCTATAAGTAGAAGGCTGTGCAGTGTGATGAACAAGAGATCATCCCTGGGGGTGCCCGGGTGGCTCAGTCGGTTGAGCGTCTGACTTGATTTCAGCGCAGGTCATGATCTCAGGGTCATGAGATCAAGCCCTGCATCAGGCTCGCTGCTCAGAGGAGGGTCTGCTTCTCCCTCTCCCACTCCCCCTGCTTGTGCTCTATCTCTCGCTGTATCTCTCTCTGTCAAATAAATAAAATCTTTAAAAATAAATAAATAAATAAAAATTAAAATACATCAATATAAATTCTAAGGATTATGAACAGTTGAGAAACCAGAAATAAGAAAAGGATGCAAAGTATTTAGTGAAATCAAACCCTTACAGAGTATAGGGTTTTGCTCACCAACATTAACTAAGCATGGGACGCTTCTGCCCAATCTTAAATAATCCCTGTTAGTTTTCCCATTCAACAATCTGTGTGATATTTATAGAACAGTGTGGCGATGAATCTTATATTTCTCTAAACATATACCTATGTGTGTATGTCTATGTTTATACATATGAAAATAATTAGGAGAGAGAGAAGAAACACATGAACGCTTTAAGGCAACAAAGGCCAAACAAAGTATCCAAACCTGTTAGAACTTCGGAATAGAGAGAGATGATGGTGGACTCCTGTAACCAGGGACCATTCTTACAGGTAGTAAGATCTGAGGAGGAAGTTGAAGATGATCGAATGCACAGAAAGGAGGAGGAGGGCCTTTCCAAAGTGGAGACAACAGAGTGAGCAAAACCTGGGTAGCAGCCATGGGCAGGTTCTGAGAACCCTGGTTTGGCTCCTCCGTTAAGTTAAATCTTACCTGTGTCTTTAAAAGGTGCCAAGGACCGTTTTCCTCATTTCCTCTGACTCCTGTCTGTGCTTTGGTGTCACTCATGGTGCAGGGTGAAGGACTGGGCCTTTCTGATGAGTACCGGGCGTTCCCAAGGACACAGCGCTGCCAGAGATGAAAGCAATGTTGTCTCATTTCTTAAGTGCTGGGAGAGCAGAGCAGAGGGCCCTGCAGCCCACACGCGGTTCTGCTGGCTGGCGGGCTTGCCCGCTAGTTCCCCCCAGGCCTATAAATTACCCTCTCCACTCAAAGTGCCTCACACACTGCCAAAAGGCATCATGTGGGGAGGTAACAATGGTCAGTTACAGTTTTATTGACATCTATGGAACAATCCAGAACTTAGAGTAAATTGAGCACACCAAGCAATTTGTATACCCTCTGACCACCTATTTCTCAGAACGAACAGGTGAAACTGTGGGTAGAACTTGTTATGCCCGAGACTGTTGGGGTGTGGGGTATTCCAGGGGGATAAAACCATCAGGGGCAGCCAAAGCCTGACCCTAGACCCGCCAACTGGGACTAGGCTGGAGGATAAAGCAAGATGGCCTGGACGATCTCTCCTCTCAATCCAGGTTAAAAGGCCAAGGATGGCTATAACCCTCCAGAACACACCCCCCACTGCCTACCGTGACACGAACTTGTTTCCTCCATGACCTTCCTGATGACATAAAGGAAGAGAGCAGAGATGATGCCACAGCAACCTCCCGGGCAGCCTGAGGAAAAGGAGAGAGTAAAATATGAACTTCATGACAAATTTTTGGTGCTCGAACAGACCATGAAAACAGGATGGGTAGATAGGGCTCACCACGTAGGAATTCAAGCTCATTTTCTGAACCTCCCCCTCTTGTTGCCTCCCTGCCTGCAGATGTTGGGCTCACCACTGCAAAATCTAAGGTAAGCAAAGTCAGCAGCTAGCTCCCAGGAGGCCCCCCATTGGGACCCCTTGGTTGGGTGGAGTCACTGGAGGGTTCTGTGCAGTCCCAGGACTATAACAGCATAGGAGGAGGTGTGTGACCCAGATTTCAGGGCAGTGTCAGGAAAGACTGTGCCTCCTTGCAGTAAATAGGAGTTAACCTGGCAAAGCAGGGAGTAAATAGGCAAAGGGAAGATCACAGAGAAGGACTAAGAAATGAGTAAGGCCAGTGTTCTCAAGACCTTCAATGTGGTTGGAAGCAGAGGAGTGTGGTTGGTATACTGAAGGCGGTGAGGAGCTTGAGAGACTTTAGGTAACATAATCAGAGCTGTATTTTAGAAAGGTTCATCTGGCCACAGTGTAGGGGGGGAAAATGGACTGGGTTCAAGGGGTTACAGAAGGCAGCAAAATTAGTTAGGAGCCTGTTACAATAATACAATTATTAAATAAATCAGTTTCTAAACCAAGCTGGCAACAGTCAGGAATAGAGAGGAAAGGCCAGACTCACGTTGTATTAAGGAGGCACAAAAGAAGAAACAGAACTAGGAAATGGACTGGATGTGGGAAGTGAGGGATGGGGATGTGAAGGACCATCCCCAAGCTTCAGCCGGAGCTAACGGAGTGGCTGGTGAGGCCACTAACAATTACTGGATCACACAGCATTGGTCAGGAAGCTGTATTCCAAGCATGAAGGGTTTTAATGCAAGGAATGGGGGGCTTACAAAATCTCAGGAAGGACTAGCAGTGGTCCTCAGAAGCTCTATGTTTGCTGTCCGGAGGAGAAACTATTTTAGATCTCAAGAATTTATAGAAAGCCTGGACCTCAGGCTGATGCAGGCAATCACCAAGAAGGAGCCGGCAGGTGTCTAGCCCGCCATTACCAGCCAGGTGTTCATCTGGGAGTTCAGCTGGAGAATGGAAGGCTGATTTGGGGAACACTGTGTGACACCCCCCTCGCCACCAAGGGGGATGTTCAATATATGCATCCAGACAGCATGAACGAGGTCGTGGCTGGAAAGACATATTGGAAAGTTGTGGGGCTCAGAAATGAGGTCCCCCAGAGAGACTGTAGAGAGAAAAGTGAGAAATAAAGACAGTATCTGCCACTGGCCCAAATATAAGGTCACAGAGCAAGCTTACACAGATGCTGGCCAGCCACTCTCTCACCTTAGGAACTCCTTCATCCTACAGAGCAGACTCAGCCCCCAGATTCAGGCGGTCCCTGAGACTCCCACACCTCACGTTATCTAGTGCAGTATTGCCCAGGCCTGATTATGGAGTAGGATCAGCTGATTCAGTGTGCTGGCAAGTATTTTGAGCCCCAATTAGTTCAAGAGACAATGGTCAAGTGCAGGTGGGTGGGTGGGTAAGAAAATGGGCAGAATTAGGGCTGGAGGTACCAGCTGGGTAGGCTATTTTCTACATTAAATTTAAACCCTTCTATAACTGCAGCCCAGAAGGGAAATATGTCTGAGGAAAACCACATGATTCAAAGCAAATGAACTAAGCAATGCTTCTTTGTGCTAAAGATTTCATGGTCTGTCTCATCTGTCATTGGAGAAAAAAAGTTTTGAAAAGAATGCATTTTGAAAAGCAATTCATTTTTATCAACCCAGTAATGTATATAAGATCACTCAAGGAAAGACAAAATAAACCAATATCAAAAGTGTGTTCTAAAAAACCAAAGATTCCCCTTGGAACTAAGATATCTCAAGGCATACTAAATATGTAATTTCTAGAATTTCCCCCAGATGTAATCATTTGCTAAATCACAGTGGTGAAGGAGGGGACCAAGAAGAATAACACAGGTTGGAAGTAGCTTCCAGACGATTTCTCTTCCACTCTTTGAGTTTTATCCCACCTGCTACCAACAGCTCTTCCTTTTCCATCTTCTTCCAACTTCTAATCACTTTTATTCATTCTCTGAAGACTTTGACAATTGACCACGGCCACTTCGGCCTTTGTCCAATTCCAGGTCCATGTGAACACCCATCCAATACCTGGGCTACATCTCCAATAAATTCCTCCTTTCCTCCTAAAGGAAAAGAGGAGTATTCTTGGCCAATCCATCACCAAATATTGTTGATTTTAATTCCAAAAGTTTTGTCAAAACTGTTCACTTCTCTCTACTTTTCACCAATGCCATGTTCTACTCAAAGTTGTCCATTTGCCTGAGCAGAGGCTATAACCTCTGTACAGATCTCCCACATTTATTCTCGTTCCCCTCTAGGGTTATGGTTTGATCATCTTATGCCTGTTGCTTAAAACTGAATATCTGAATAGATTCCAGTTCCTCACAGGGGAAGGTCCCAAATCCTTAGCATGGACTCAAGGCCCCCCAAGACTTGCCCTCCTCCGTTCCCTGCAGTTTCATCTTGCCCCATGCCTCTCCTTAATCCCCAAGCTTCAATCTTGCTGGTCTTATTTCAATTCTTTCCAGTTTCAGAGTCTTTGCCCACACTCTTCTGTTTGGATAGAATGGCCTTTCTCCATTACTTGACCTTCACTCCCTCCCCCAACTGGTTCCTTCTTAGCTCTAGTTGCTGCTTATTTACTTTAGATTGAAGGAAAAAATTAGAAGGCTGGGGACAGAAAGCATAAGCCCAGCCTGGTTTTGCATGTAACGAGTTTGCATTGGACACTTGCTCAATCTCATCCAACTTAATCCCATCTCAGAAAGAAATTATTTTACATCCAGAAGTAAATTGAGACACATGGATAAGAAATTTAGACAGAAAGAATTGCTTGAATCGTGGCCACTGTGGTCTGTTGTGTGGCTTCTGACCTGCTCAAGGGAATAGTCAGGAAGTGGATAGGAGCTAAAATCCACCTTAACTTTCTAAGCAACTCATCTGTGGGGACTGCCCCAGCTGAAGATGTGCCTTTTTTCTCATTTGCATAAAGTAGGGTTGGGACTAGTGATTTCCTGATTCACGTCCCAAAGATGTGGGCCCTTTAGTGATTTCCGTGGTGTCCAAAGAAATGGAATAGCTTGAAAGTCAACCAGATAAGAAAGGAGCCAAGACAAAGCCCAATGCTTGTGGCAGCCCCATTAGTCTGCCATGAAGCAACTCCAACAGTTAAGTGTGAGGGAGAACAGAAGAGAAGATCTAAATACAAATTGAGCTCTGACACGGCAATTAAGGATATCTAACAGAATCTGTAAGTGGTTCCTTTCTGACTTTAAGAGGTCTCTTAGAAGTCAAGAAGGGTCAATCAGAGCCCCCAAATACAAATCTTGCTGTTTAACATTCCCAGTAATCTCGACGTTAACCCCTCCGTTGCTTTCAGATCCCGCTCCACTTGCCGCAAAATTAAAATTAGAATCAATACAATGAGCCCTCAGTACGTAAAACAATTCAAGGCTCTATTTCAGCACGAAGCTTCATTTAAGCTGTAGGAATAAAAAGAAAAGACAGCCCTTTGTTCTCCTCATTTCACAAGCCTGCAAATGGCCTCTTAGCCAAAATAGCTCCTCTAATCTTTAAGTTTTAATTAGCTGCCCACAATTCATAAAATATCAGGAATTAAAATGCTGATACCTCATTCTCCTGAGAAATGGCACACAATTAACCTCTTTTTTCTGGTTAAAGACAGAAATGGAGAAAGGGTAATGACAAAATTAATCTATTCTGGTGGCGAGGGCTTCCATGGTGCTGGAAGACAGCCTCCGACCCCAAGTCAAAGGGAAAGCAGTTCCGAGCGTGGAGAAACAGCGGATTCGTGGCGGATAGCCTTGTGGATTCGTGACAAGTTCTAGCACGACACCGTGCCAGGCATCTCAAATCTTACAAAAATGTGAAATGATTCTCCAGTTAACCGATCTAACCCATCTTCCTTTTTCCTCTGAAAATGGGTATACACATAGGCATTAAATAATGTCCGAATCTCCAGCTTTCTACCGAGGCAGAAGAAAAGGTTAAGAAACGCACACTTTCCTGGAATGATCTTGAGATCAAAATAGACACCTGGCAGTAAAGTCAGATGGGGTTACTGGTACTGAGTTTGTGTCTTTCTGGAATAATTATTCCCCCCAAAAGTAGATTTTGCTTTTTTTTTTTCTGATGATAAATATTTAAATAAGACTAGCCTTATCCATGTTCTCAATGAAGACATGAGGACACATGCGGAAAAGGGAGGCTGTAGACTCCATCTGCTTGCTTTCAAACCCCACGGTGAAACCTCACTAGCTGTGTGATCTAGGGTAAGTTGCTTAACCTCTCTGAGCTTTTGTTATGTATCTGTAAAGGAAAGACAAAAACGTGTGCTGTGAGCATGAAGCAGAGAAAGCTTACAACAGAACCTGACACTTTACTAGTGCTCATTAAGATTAGCTAAGATTATTGTCAATAGAGGAACCCAAATATCTTTAATGAGGACAAAGATACTGATTCATGTTAAGAACGCCCTGGTAATTCCAATTGCTGCTGTTTGTTCTTTAGGCAAGAGCTTCACTGAGTTATAACTCATATGCGGTACAGTTAACCTGTTTAAAGTGCCCACTTCAGTGGTTTTTAGTATATTCACAGAGCTGTACAGCCCTCACCCCAATCAATTTTAGAACATTTCATTGCTGCAAAAAGAAACTCCATGCTCATTAGTTATCACCCCCAACCCCCACTTTGTCCCAGCCCTAAGCAACCACTAATCCACTTTCTGTCTCTATAGATTTGCCTATTTCGGATATTTCATAGAAATTGAATCATAGGATACGCAGTCTTTCTGTGAGTGATTTCTTTCACTTAGCATTATGTTTTCAAGGTTCATCCAAGCTATAGCATATATCAGGACTTCATTCCT